TAACCTGACTTCGCAGTCGTGTGTATTTTAAACAAAGGACTTAATTGGTTCGAAGCTAACACCATCATTTATAGAGATTCATAAAACAAAAAAAATTAGGGTTGTAGGGTTCCTCGCGCAAGCAAAATAATGCATGTGTCGTAAGTGGAAACTAACCTTAAAGAGAAATCTCGAAGAAATCCTTGTAGGAGCGTAGAATAGCAGAGGATTGGTTAAGATGATAACTGTCAGTCGAGATATGAGGCGATTTTACTAACTTTTTCGGTGGTTGTGGTTACTTTTTAAACACTAATTACTGAGATCTTAGGTCAGGGGCCCGTTTCTCGAAAGCCCCGGAAACCCTTCGGACCCGCAAAGCCACATTTAGATAATCTGTATCTAAAAACGGAGAAATGTACATGCCTGGAACTCCTTGTATAAAGAGAACCTCTGTTTATGTTAAGAATATGTGATAAAACATCTCTGTAATTATCATAAGGTTTGAGATTTTGCCACAGCTTTCCGGGTGGGAAAACTTTTCGGGACCTACGAGAAACAGGCCCCTAGTCTGGAGGTTATCAAATGTTGCAAGTTAATTTTTAATTTACTGTGGTTTTAAATATTAGGTTTGTGTTTGGAATATGGAGACGTTTGAAGCTTCCCTGATCTATGAGGGTCACGAACAGAAAAGAACATTCTCCTGTGGTGTTCGTGCTTGCACTTTCTCACGTGACTCGACCCAAGTCGCCAGTGGTGGAGACGAGCTCAAAATCCGCATCTGGTCTCGAGAGACTGGTAAGGACAACATTGTGCTGGAGTGTGGTGAAGCCATGTTGCCCTGGTGCCTTCGATTCTCCCATGATGACAAGCGGCTAGTTTCAGTGGGTGAATTCACGAATGGCGCAATCGTCTGGGATTTAGAGACACAAAGAAAGATGTTGACATTGGGTGGGCATGAGCGCTTCTGCCAGTACACCGAGTTTTCGAGCTCTGGAAATTTTATCCTGACGAGTTCCATAGACAACTCAGCTCGAATATGGGACGGCAGGAGCTATGAGTACGTGACCACTGTTACGCAACCTGATTGGGTGACATGCGCCACGTTTTCACACAACGAGCAGTTGCTAGCCACGTGTTCAAAAGATCAGTTGGTGCGCTTGTGGAACATCAGTAACTGGCAGAAGATCTGCGAAATGGCAGGACACGAGTCTGAAATCAGGATGGTCAGTTTTTCACCCGAGGACAAGTTCCTGGCGAGCGGGGCTTTGGACCAGACGATCTGCATCTGGGACTGCGATACCTGTCAGCAAATTCAAGTTTTCTACGCAGCCTCGGGGATCTGGGGCTTAACCTGGCACCCGACCGAGAGCGACCTGCTCGCGGCTGGAGATGCAGTAGGCTATCTTTACTT